AGATTTATAGATCTTGGTTTAATAGTACAAAACCGATTTATCAGTAGAGAATATCCATTTTTAAACACATAAACTGGAAACTTCAGTTTTTAATCTTCTAGGAAAGAGTGAAACATACAGTTATCGACCTAGTCAAAACAGTCAGTTGAATTGATTGCACACTCTATAGCAACTCAGAGGATGAACAGAGTGTGTGTGAAATTCAATGGCTACAAGATGTTTTGTGAAATATAACAGCAATGTAGCCTCACTGAGTGATAAATTAAGAATACTTCGCACCTGTTGGAGATTTTTCGTGAACAAAGAAGCGGAAAAGAGGAGCTTAGAATAAAAAGTGAAATGAGCCCATATCGCGTGTGTGCTGCGCGCAATATTTTCAGAGGTGCCAGGCAAACTCCCTGAGAGGAAGCATCTTAACGTATCCTAGGTCTTGGACTGCAAATTATCTCGTAAAAATAAATCACCATTTGTAAGTATACACAAATGAAAATTATAGTAGTCTTTTTGATCAGAGAAGCCGATATTAATAATGGGAATCCCTAGGCTAAGTAAAATAACAGATACAATAAGATATGACGTGTGCTTTGAATCGATAACTGGAAACTGTGAAAAATTGTTCACCGGCTATGTTTAAAGATTTTTATTAGTCCGGATTTAAAACTGCATTTCCAGAACTGAAACAAGTTCTTTCATCAATGGCAAAGGGTTACATATTCCATAGTGTAGGTCAAATCAAACACAAGTAAAAGGGTTGTGTTTAGCGTGATTATATATTAAAATACAAAAAGCTGGCGGCTGTTAGACGAGAAAGAAAAGGGAGTTATGCGTTCAGGCCTGCAGTGGAAAGCGTCCGTTGATGTTTATTTGTCTTCCTTAACCACCGTTAAAATTATTGTTATTATTGTTGGGAAAAGTCAAATTAATTCAACCAAGCAACCTCACCATAGCAATTTGCACGTGCAAAAGTTGAGGCGCGATCTTTTTTTGCAATTAATCGCGCAATTCATTTGCATTTTATCTTCTGTTCCTCGTGGTCGGAACTGTGTCGCTTCTTGAACGAAAGAACTACAAAAGTGGTTCAGAAATGAAGGTTAATCTTTGTACTGTCCGGCAAAGCTCAGAGCAATGCACTTGAAGACCTGATATCGACCTACAACCCACCGAGCTAATTCATCTCTCAAGAAAAGGTAACTGATACTAGAATTATTAAACTTGTTCGACATGTTTCGAGACTGATAATGGA